CACCAACCGCAGGCTGGCACGTGTCCAAATAACACCGGCATAGCAATAACTTTGGAAGGCACCTCGAGCCCCGCGCTTTTGGGGGAAGCCTAGGGGCCGCTAACGGAACTTAGAATTCGGGGCTGACGACGAACGTCGATCATAAAACCCGGGATCCCCACAGGCTGGGAGGACAACACCAGACGAACATCGTCGGACACAGTGCCGCCGTCCATCAAGGCAACTCGCACAAATAGCGACCCCTTGCTAGTCTGTGAATCGGCTATCTAAGGTGGCGAGGGCAGGGTTAGCTCGAAAGCGTACGGCCGAAGGGGCCGAGTGCCCAAGGTACATGAGGCCTGGCTAGGCAACGGCGTCTAAGCCAGGAGATGACTACGCCCGGCGGCAAAACTACGAATACGCTACGCGTTAGCTGGCTACGTACGGCGGGAGTGCGTTGGAAGAATAAGGTACGAATACAGCAACACGGCATAAAGACGAACTTTGGCAAAACATGGATTTTTATTCTTCAGCACTATCGGCTGGAAAGTACAGGTCTACACGCTACAGTCGGAAGGAAGGCTAGACTAAAATATAAATCAGCACATGTGGGGGGACGATGGCCGGCTCCCGGCATGGGTGTGCTCTTCCACCTGGGGCTCGGGCTCGGGGGTTGGGGGTTCCGGGATATCCCCCATGGCTATGGCCGCCGCTCGGCGCCTATCCCGCCTTATCTTCCCCAGGGCTTCGATCAGCAGATCCTCTTCCGTATGGTCGGCCGGGTTGACATCAGGGCCCAGAAGTTTCTCAAAGATGGGGAGAATGGCCTTGACCCCTTCGTTGTAGCCACCGGCGAAGGCGCTATCGGCGGAATCATAAAGGAATTGGCGCGATAAGGGGGAGCTTCCCATTAGCCGCACGCCGTATTTTAGACGATCCTTCGCCGGGACCTTCTCCAGGGCATGAGAGAACACGTCTCCAAAGGCCCCAGCGCAGAAATCTTTGGCCGAGTCCATAAACTCGCCAGTGTTCCTGTAGCCGGAGGTGTCGACCAACCACTCCGGAGTGGCATCCTTGGCGGCAGGGAGCACCAGAACAAGCTTGAAACCGGCTCTCTCAAGACCAGCCAACTGGCTGCGGGATTCAGCCTGCAGGGCTGCAATCTCCCTCCCCCTGGCTGCAGCCTCCGCCTCAGCTCGACGGGCGGCCTCCCGGGCCGTAGCAACGGCCGCATCAGCCTTGGCCTTGGCCTCCTTCAGATCGGCCTCCCTGACGGCTTCAGCCTGGAGGACTAGAAGCCCAGACTGGATGACAGAAGAGAAAGCAATGGTCAGGAGATGAACGTCAAGGAAAAAATGTACTCGGATCTAGCAATGAGGAATTACCTGGATGGCCGCTGCCAGAGCGGCGCTGGTCGCTTCAGAAGACGACCGGGGGGCCAGTTCGAGGCCGGCCTTGGCCCCAAGCTCCCTCCAAAGCTCCTCCGCCGGCCGGCTCAAGGAGAGACCGTTGGCATCTTCAACAACGGGGCCGGAGGAAGAGCAGTCTCGCCCCCTCTTCGGCTTCTTCTCTGGGGCCCTCTCGCCCCCCTTCTTGGGAACCACCTTCGTTGTGACGACCGGCGGGGGGGGGGGGGGGGGGGGCAGATTCAGCATGATGAGGTATGGCCCCCTCATTCAGGAGGGTGGCAATCAGATGCTGCTCACCATCTGCAGTCCGACGGGCGGCGTCAGAGGCAGATGATCCGGCACCATGGGCGGCGGCCTCCCTGGCCGCTTTGGCCGCAGCCATCTTCGCCTTCATGTTCCTCAGGCACTCGGCGTTGTCCATTTGATCGGCGGTAAGAGGAAGACCTGCAAGAGAGAAACACAAGAATATGAAAAGACGAACAGGGATAGGGGGGAACACCCACCTCAGAGGACAGGACCGCCCGTGCCCCGAGACGAGCGTCCAAGGGGGGAAGGAATCCAGGAACACGGGCGGTACCTATGCCTGCTTCAGAGAGTGCCTCGGGGGTCAGGTATTCTCCTATGGGGCGAATGCCGCCTTCCAGGACTTTGTTCACTTCCGCCTCCAGCTCGCCCGTCAGCACCGGCGACTCAATCTTCGGGGGGTAACCGTTCCAGCGGATTGGGAGGGGAGGACCATCATATCTAAGGAAGAAGAGCCTATTTTTCCAATCATGGATGGAGGAAGGATAGTGCTCGAACAGCTTCCTCTTCGGACGAGCGGCCACACTCAGATAACCGTCGGAATTCTGCGGGGTGACCCGGTAAAAGTAGTGAAACAGATCCAGGGATATATCGGCTTCCGCGGACGAGCAGCGCACGAGGAATGCGGAGATAAACCTATAAGAGTTGGGCATGAACTGCGCCGGGACCGCCTGGTAGCAATTGAAGAACTCCACGTAAAAAGGGTGGAGGGGAAACCGCAGACCGGCCTCTACGGAGTCCACATGCAGGATGATCATCCCCGGCCGTCGCCGCATGGCATGTTCAGCCCCGCTATGGCTAAAGACGAACGGATGGGGGAAGAAGGAAGCAATCTTGTTCATGGCGACGCTAGAGAGGGATTGCCTGTGCTCTAAAACACTCTTAATCTTGCAGATGTGCCTCTGCACGTCCATGGGGATACCTAAATCGTGCACCTCCAGATCAGAGCCAGATTGAGCCTCATCCGCGGAATCATACCCGGCCGCACGTTCATTCAGAGGCACTGCCTCAATGGCACCTTCGGAAATGTCGGCGCCTTGCTCACTGTCGACGTGGATAGTCCCTACGCTGGACGCCGAACCTGGGTTGCCGGAAATGCTGGTTTTTCCGGAGGAACGGGAGCCAGAATTGGAGGAAGAATCAGAGCCGGAGCCCGAAGAACCAGAACTCGAACTTGAAGAGATCTCCATCGAAGTCATCACTAAAAGAAAGGGCGAGGATGAAGAGGAATAATTACCTTAAAAAACTTGAAGATGGACTTGGGAAGCTGTGATGAAAAACCCGAAGAGCGGCAAGAGAACTCGAAAGCAAAAGCCAGGAATCGGAAACCCTAGACATCAGGGGATTTCTGGTATTTATAGCGGAGGCACCCCCGGGGGGACGAATGAAGAAGCGACACGTGGCGAGGAGCGTACCCTGGCGGGAATCCAACCTGGGGAAGCGATACGCGTAATGATGACTTCCCATCGGGAGTCGCACCGTTTCGCCGCCAGCCGCCACCTCGATTCACCCGCGGTCGCCCAACTCGGGGTGCCCTTCGGTCAGGTACGTCCAGTCCCCCGTGGGCAAGTACGGAAGACGGGCATCCTCTAGGAGGCACAGCATACTTCCTTATGTCCCACACACGCTTGGAACATCAGAAGTGGGGGACTTGTGTTGGGTAAATGGCCCCGAGCAGGGGTCCGGCCCAATTACCCCCAAACCGACGTACGTCGCCCAGCCCACGGATGGCCCTGGCCCGAAGGAATGAGGACGAATGTCTATCTCCGGGATAACAGCTCAAGGTCCCGGCCGAGGGTCGGTTAGCACATCCATGACGAACGTCGTCAGCCGAGGCCCATCTCCGTAGATGGCCCAGGCCCAAAAGATTGTTACGTTCTCAGGAAGGGCCGCAGACGAACGGCCCCTGGTTCTACCAGACGATCGTGGTCAGGAATTAGGCGGGGAACCCAGATTCTGGCGGGAAGCGCATTTAATGCTGGAGATTTGGTGGTTGGGCCACAGCCACTAACAATCCTCCACATCATCAGGACTAACTGCCCATTGGCGGGTATAAATAGTAGCATTTATTTCATTGTAAAGGGTTGGCAACTTTCTATTCTTAGCATTCTAGCTATTGTATTCTTACTCGCAGCATCTGTACTGCCTTGTAAGACGAACGGCCGACGTGCCCTTTTTAGCAAGTAGATTGTACTTAGGGGAGTTATTACGAAGTTAATAATATCTATTTACATTGCCTGCTATTACTTTTGTTTCCTGATCCATCTGATAGTTGTTGGGCTAGATATTCTTACACTTACTCCACTCGAAATCTTTGGGCTTACGTGTTGGGTCCAAGGGTTGAAGGAATAAACCTCAACACTACTCATATATATATATATATATGTGTGTGTATATATAAAACTCTATAATAAATAAATAAATAAATAACATACTCTCTCGATTGAGTATGTTCTATTAGACTTTTCTAACTTTCCCATTTTATTTGAATAAAAAACTTTATCACTTACTTTTTAAAGAAATGAACTTGTAATTTGGTTTAATATTTATTTCTCTTCTACCCAAAACTCAATAACACATTTAATTTGTACGTTTGTTATTACACATCCAAGTGAAAATTGACGATGTCTAATACTCCGTAGAACACAGGTAATATATCCTTTATCTCTCCCAAATTGATTTGCAAAGTCAACATATTTTTATCAATCAATCTTAAAGTTAATCCTCCCTATTGATACTTGGTCAATTTTAATAATTAAAATTGACATATTGAAAAGTTAAAATAAAATCTCAATAAAATTGTAAAATCCAAATTAAAATATAACTAAAAATTGATATCCTAATTTATATACGAGGTAAGGGTCAATTTAGTACATAAACTTGTATGAAGTGGAGTAAAGAGTAAATTATATTGCATTTGATCTTTTTAAGTACACAGACTCGGCATTGTAGTGTTAATTGAGTACAACCATAAGATTAACATGTTAATATGAATGAGTTTGATAACAGAATGCTAATAAGTCGACCCCTGAAGATGACGCCAACCCCAACTCGTTGTTGTTGTTGTCAAATTCATGAAGGTCGGCGTCATAAACTTGATCCATTACTCAGGATTCTATTAGTTAACTCAGACATATTAATGTGTTAATCTAATAAATGTACTCAATTAATACTAAATAACCGAGTTTATGTAATTATAAATGTCAAATGCAATACACTACACAATTGATCATTTCTTCCATTTATATACGGAAAATCATCTAATATTCTAATGCCTCTTTTCCCTCTCTCAAACTTCATAAATTGCAAAGGACGAAATCCTCACCTTTGTTTGGGAGGTTTTCGTGGTTGTCCACCTCTACTTCCCAATTCTCATCCCTCTTTCTTTTTTTACTTCTTTTCTTTCTGCTCTCCAGAAAATGATCCAAATGGTATCATTCTCCCTTGGAGTCGACCCACCATCTTTCTCCTAATTATATTTGTTTTCCTCCCATACTGTTGCATCCATGCCTGATTATTTTCAAGAATATTTGTTGGTTCCTCTCATCTTTGCACTTCCTGCTCTTTGAGAAGGTAAATTTTGAAACTTTTCGTAAAGATATTAAAATCTTAGAAGAATTCTAAATGCATTGCTGATTGCAGACTTTTATCCGTTTTGATAGGCAGAGAAGTGTGTACCACGATGAAGGGGTCTTTCAAAGCTGGATTCAAATACATCTCCAACATTTTTGGTAATTCCCTTAATTGAATTTGGTTTTCCTTGTATAAATGTATGCTCTTTTTTTGCATCTTTGAATTTATGGTATTTAACATTAGTGAAGGATCGTGAGATTGAGATTGAAATTGGAGGACCAACAGATGTTAAGCATGTTGCTCACATTGGGTGGGATGGTCAAGCTGGTATTGCACCTACTTGGGTATGCCTATATGTCTATTTACCTTTGTTAACAACATACAGATAGGTATTAGGTAAGATAATTGATTCAACCATTTTCCCTTTCCTCTTTGTGTGGATTGTAGATGAATGAATTCAAAGCAGGGCCAGATTTTATATCTCCAAAAATGGGCAATTCTGCCCATGGGCTTTCTCCATGGTCTTCTCAAGGTGATTTTGCTTCCCTGTCTTACATACATATTGTTCACTTTCATATAATCTGATTATGGAAGGGAATATTTGATATTTTTAGTTAAGAAAATTTCGGGTCGAACTCAACCCTAAAAGAGTTTATTCTCGGTTCTAGAACTCGCTAGGTTCTAGTTGGGAAGTTGACTAGCGCCCAGACACCAACTAGGCCGATCAGGCCGACTAGGCCAATTTTCAGAACAATGAGATTATTACAACACTCATATTTGGTCAATACAGATTGATTCCAATAATAACTAAGCATTGTACAGATTTCATTTTGTTAACTATTTTGATGAGTAAACTCGTAGCACTTAGGTGTATAGAAGTCCTTCGAGTATGGTGCTTCATTCGCAACCAAGCCAGCATATTAAAGGATCTAATCTCACATCAAATAACTATATGGCTATGCTAAAGTAGCCCAATGTGGCATATTTGACTATTACGTTATGTGTTTGGATGAGGTGTTGAGGGTTGTTAGTAATGAAAGACTGAAAGTGTTAGGACTTAGGAAGTGTATGGGGCATTGTTAAGGAATGGAAGGTAAGTCTATGATCAGTGGCAGAGGCAGGGCGGTACAATAAATATTTTTGGAATTCTTTTACACGATTTGTTTACCTTAATAATTTAAACAAAAATTAAATTGGGGTGGGAAATGGCCTAGGTTGACCCCCTTAGCTACACCCCTGTGTATTATATAAACTTATCTTGTTTCGAAGAGTCAAAAAATGAAGTGCTAATAACAGACACGTTTCACTTAAATTGGCAAAAATGTTCCCGTACCATTCTGTTTAATATTTTGAGTATTTAATAATTTAAATGATATTTTTTATGTGTAAACAGTGACAAAAAATATGAAGAAATGTTATGTTTCCTAGTAATGTAAACGGTGAAAACAGACAATTGAACATGGACTTTATAAAACATAAATGAAAAACTAAAACGTGAGCCAACAAATACCCTGGCAAATGGGATTTAGAGAAAATGGGAGTGATAGCAAAAAACATCTTGCTCATAAAGCAACTGGGACGGGGATTGTTTATTCTCAGACTAAAGTAAGGTTGTCCTTCCATTGCGGTCCTTTCTGTTTCAGTGGCGAAGCTATGGTGAATCTCCGGCCAGCGCAAAATTAGGGAGAGGTAAAGCAGTGAGAATAAAAACATGAAGAAATATTGAGGAAAGAAGAAGAATGGGAACCAACATGGCAACATGGAGAAGGAAACTCTCTGAAAGAAGAATATCAGTGACTGCAAGAGAAGATGAACAAGAGTTTGCATATACTTTCCAAATAAGAAGGGCAAATATTGTCCAACACCTCGTTAACAAAGTGATAAGTTTAGATTGGGAAGGTTATGTTTAACACCGTCGAACACTTACTAACACCTCTATTTTTTTTCTAATTTCTCTCCCAAACAAGTGTTAAAATCAACACTTCTTAACACTTCATTACTAACACTCTTGAACACTCCAACCAAACACAATATTAGCAGAATAAATCGTTTTTGACATACCTTTTTGGTCAAATTGGGTACTACCAAGAAATTTGACATATTTCTTCACTTCAACTATATAACCTTACCTAAAGGGCTCAAAATATATAAATTGACACATAAAGCCAAATTCCAGTTTGAAACTTAATGTTGATGTACCTAAGGCCTAAGGCTTTAGTCACATATGAGCTTTTTTGGCAATAACGGTCCATTTATAGTAATAGAACTCATGATTGAGTTGGGTTACAAAATTGGGTCATACAGCACTTGGATTAAATCTCACTAAGCGATTGCATCGATGTTTTTAGCAAGTTCAACCAGTGGTATTATTAACCCATCATTCTTTCTTTAACTTTCTGGTGTAAAATTCTAACACCCTGAATACACCCCAAATTGGTTGATAAATCAGTCATAGGCTTTAAGAGTGGAACGGTAAACGAGACAACGAAGTGTGCCACAACCTGCGCTCATAACATGATAAAATTCGGTATAGGATTTTCTAGATTTGGTCGATTCATGTTGTTGGTCATAATGCTCTTGGGCCAAACCACACTATAAATTCTATGCTTGAGCTGGTTCAACATTTCAAGTAGTGTCTTATTCACTTATCAATCTTTTTGATTTTTCAATGCAAGACCCTTACAAGTAATTTGAACAGATATTGAAGAATCAATGACACTGCAATCAGGATCTGATATTTGCAATGAGATGACACAATCTAGAGAGGTTCCTTGTGGTGTTAAGAAACAGAAAAGAAAGAAACTCAAATCAAGCACTTCGTCTACATCAAGGTCAACCCGCTCAACGAGAACAAAGATGAAATTACCAGAAGATGACCCGAAGCCAATGAAAATAGAAGTGGCCACATACTAATTTTTAGAGTTGAGCTAACTTTGACAAAAATCACTTGAAAGTCCTTGACAGGAAAAGTAAACTTTGAAGAGAGCAAGAGCAGGAAGGTTTAGAACAAGGATATATTAATTTGTAAACTCTAGAGGTCTGATAAAACAGGGGGAGATGCAAAAATCATTAACAAATGAAAAAATCATCTTATTTTTCTTTTAGTTTTTTGTTTGTTTTGTTCTATGATTCTTGTTAATTGGTATAACGACAAGGGAAAGTCCATGTAAAAAGCTGGATTATATTTAGACTGTGGTACTGTAAAGTGTGCTAATTATGGGTTGTTATTGTTAGGGTTTAATTTTTATCTTGACGCTGATTAGTTTTCTCTTGATTTTGTGCTTACTTATGCAAGCAACTGAATTGATGTTAGCTTTCTTGTTTTGGCTAATTTCTTCCTATTCATCAGTTTAGTTACATCTTTGTGCTTGCTTTCTTCTTCGTTAGTTTAATACTACATATTCAGTGTCGTTTTATGATAAAGCATTCATGGCAATATTTTGTAGGATGTATGTGTTATTTTTAAAGAATGATGTTGCAAGTACAAATCACTTCAGAGTTACCAATTAAAACAGGCACATGGAAACATCGTATTTTTATTGCACCATATAATTTTTACATCAATAATGGTCATATGAGCCACATTTTGTAAATTCTTTTGTATGTACAGTATCATTTTCTTTTAAACATGTAATTTTTAAAAAAATAAATACTACCTCCGTCCCACTATGTTTGGGACAATTCGATTTACGAGGCTTGACCGACGATAAAGCAAACAGATCATTGTCCGTGGTCAAATTATTTTTAGAAAATAAAAATTACATATTTAGAAACTACATTAAAAGCTTTACAAAATCGCAAAAACCAGAATAATATTTGATAAAAATTTGATATATAAAGTAAGAGATTAAGAGTGATTCGTGTTGATCAAGTGAATAGTGTATGAGACAATCTTAACGAGACAGAGGTATTATAATTATTAGGGTATAAGCTAGTACTATGTGAGGGAAATTTGAAACATGAATTTAGTTTAGAACAACATAGAGTTCTAACAAGGCATGGACCCGGTACTAGTCCGATTCCGGGAGAAATCGGTGAAACACGGGCCCAACCTTGTATATTATTGTTCCTGGCCCGGTTCTTGGTACCCGACCAATCCCCCAAACTTGGAAAATAAAAACAAAAAACAAAAAGAAAATTGATCGTTGGAACCGCAACCGGGACCGCCCGGTTTGGTCCAAAGTAACAGAACATGGGACTGGGTATTCGGTCCTCGCCGGAAGCGAAAAAACAGACCAGGTTCCGGTCCGCACATCTCAGACCCAGTTTCGTACCGGGCCGGACAGCTGGACTGGGTCCATGTATAGGCCGGTTTAGGCGCTTAGCTATAACACTCTTGAAGTACGTAGGGAGTGTTTGCAACTACTTTTGCTTAAAAAACGCTTTTGGAAGTGATTTTGGAAAAAGTGATTAGTAGTAAAAATTGATAGTGTTTGAGAAAAAAAATGATTTTGAAAAGTAAAAGTTGATAGTGTTTGATAAAATAAGTGTTTTTGTGTAATAGAAAAAGTAAAAATCACTTTTCACACGAAAGCCGAGAAACGCTTTTTTAAGTAGAAGTTGTCATTTGAAAACACTAATTTTAACTTTTTTAAACAACTTTGGAGTAATTATAAATAGGCCTACCATGTTTATTTCTTTGGAGCTTGATCTAGTCTTCCCAAATCTACATTTTATCGGGTTAACACCCAGCTCATTTAATAAAATCTGATAAATGTTCTTCGACATTTGCCTGATCGTCACGTTTCTCAGGTTAATAAAAGGCCAATGATTGGATTTGGGCTGAAATGCAGCATTCTAGGATTTCTACTCTTTTTTTTGTCAGACCCTTTAATTAGTTTCTTTGATGTTTGAGACCCGAACCCAAATGTTTTACTCCGTATATGTGAACCCAACGGTTCTCGAAGGATCCGGAGCCTCTACCTTACTTTAGAGTAAGGTAGACTGGTAGAGTGCCTTGCTTCCTCCCGGTCGTCCGATCGACAATTCAACGATCGGAGATCTTGTGCTCCACTTTTTCGCCGATCTCGAGGTCGTGTTGGCCGCTCCACTCTCGTCCGATGCGCAAGGCACCCTCCTAGTCGGGTAGAGGATCCCAATCCGTTCTCGAAACGGCTCGAATATATAGACTTGTAGAGATTTGGATTCACTTTTTAGAGAAAAAAAAACAAAATCAAAGTGTAAATACTAATTACGATCATACTCCGCATAATAGTATAATACTTCTAATAACTTTTACTTGATAACTACTACGTATTACGTAGTAGTGATCTGTACCCAACACGAAATTTGTTATCACACAATTGTTTTGCACTATTTTGATAGTATACTCTGACATATGACATACTTCGTATCCAGGGGCGGAGCTAGGGCGCTGGACCAGTACAAAGAATTTAAAAAAAAAAAAATTACACAAAATTTTTTAGACTAAAAATACAAGCATTTTTAAAATTTGGGCTAGGCCTGGGTCAGGGATGGCCCTCCCCCAGCTCCGCCCATGTTCGTATCACCTATAATATTTGTTCCATATATTTGTGTGTTGTGTGTACGAACTGTACGTGCATATACGACTTTATTATGAAATAGGGGTTTTAAACGGGTCTGAACAAAGTGAAGAGTGTGTAACAACTTGAACCATTTATTAAAATAATAAAAGAGATTTGTGTTCGATTTCAGAGTTAAATGTGGACTCGTACCTACGAAGTATAATAGAAAAACTTATAAGCTTGTTTCAGCTCGAATGTGGACTCGTACCATTAACGAACTTAACTCTTGAAGTCAATAAGCATGCAAATAAAATTTTCGAAGTACATTATTGTCATTATAATTAATTTATTACTATACGTAGTATAATAAGAAGAAATAATTTCATATTTATGACTAAAATAAAGATTGTTTGCAGAAATGTGCACGAATATTGATTAGAATAGTCATGAAATACTATGTAATAATAATTCATGTTCATTTTTTAAACTTAAATTACCATAACACTATATTGTAGTAATTTTTTCAGTAAATAGGACCGACTATTATATTAAAATCGAGAAAAGATGCAAGATTACATCCAAACGGTTATAATAGACCGGATTGTGAGCTCTGGGAATAGACATAGAATCAATCACCTCACACAAAGCAACCTTATTCATTAGACACAAAACAAATAATTTAAATTAAATCCTAAAACAATCAGGACTGAAATACTGTCTATCAAATGTATGCCAGAATTCCAAATTCCAAACTAAACCTACTGAACTAAAATAACAACAACCACTAGTGATGGAAAAACAAAATTAAAAAAATATCATTCCACAAAGTTCTTCATGGCACGGAGGTGGTTCTAGAGGAGGACGAGCTCTACCAATGTCTACACACTTTAGAAGAAAGCAGACATAAACCTCTTCTCAGACAAAGCTAGTCAGGACACCAACAGAACTCCCCACATCGAGAGTAACAAACCATCCCTGAGCATCAGTGCCCGGAAAATAACTGCCATAGAACAAAATCAACACAACCAGAAGAGGAGAAGAATTCAATTGGATCATACCTCCACAAGAATCTCTGAGCAAAGATGTTAATGGTGATGGCTGATCATCCCTCTACGGCCGCCGATTGGAGAAAAGTTGGGACGCCTCTTAGGGTTTAAAGTGGGAAGACTCTCAAACCTAGATTGTAGTAAATTGTACTATTAGTCATGTAAGTTTTATTTTAGTAATATTTTTGAAAAAAATTATAATAATAATAACATGTACACGCTTTACAAATTTACAAATTACAAATGGCACATATTTCCCATTTTGGCCCGAACTGAATCCAGCCCTAATAATTATCCTATTTTTTCGTCCGTCCCCACTAAATTTGCCGCATACTATATTTGATAATATTTCGGTGATTCTAATTCATTCTTACTTTTTTCTTACTTTATCAATTCATTATCAATCACATAATTTTACTTTTATTAAAAACCGCACCACTGTTTTATCTCAATGTTAGGGGGCGGAGGTAGTAGTAGTTATACTACGTATTAGGAGGGTGTTTAGCATCGGTTGTTGGCTGTTGGCCGATTGTTTTAGCTGATTGATACAACAGATTTCGTTGGTTGTTTTAATTAGCTGATTGTAGTTTGTTGGCCGGTTGTTGGCTGTTGGCCGATTGTAGTTTGTAAAATGGTGTTTGATTAAATAGATGTTTATATTTAGTTGATAATTTAATAAATGACATTTGAGGACATCAATTAATTTTCTACTAACGTAATTAGCACTACATAAATTCTTTTTATATCTTTTTTATGATTAAAATTAAAACGTAATGTATTAACACGACTAATAATTACTCCATATTTTAAACCTCTACTTTTTTTAATTCATAAGTGATAACCCATTTCTCTTACTTTTTCATGAGATGAACACGACATTTTTATGAGATGAACATGACAGATGAGGTAACCACAGTCGGTATCCCATTTTTATGATATCGATCATTTTTTGAAGGAGCATGATCAAATAGCTAACTATAGGAGAGATCGGCATTCTCCTTGCGTTGTTTTTTTGCTCTAAGACAGAAGAAGATTTAGGTTAGGGAATTATAAATTTGGTCTTCGGCGGAATTTTTTGTGCAAGTATAGGAGAGATATGGAAATTAGAGGGTAGCGTAGGAAAGATACCAAACGGCCAATTGCAATTTGCAAACGCTGGGAATAATGGCGTTTTAGTTTTTGGCTGTTTGGAACAAAAGACTAATCTCAAAAGCTATTTAACCAAACATTTTTATTAGCCAATTGATATAGTCAAAAGGTCAAATATAGTCAAAACAGCCAATAGTTGGCTGAAAAGCTACTAACCAAACACCCCCTATATATAATTAACTAGTATGAGTACCCGTGCATCGCACGGGAACATATGTGCTTAAAGTTTTTATTAAAATTGTAGGGAAAATAAATTGGATGTAAATTCATCAATGGGAGTTAATAAGAAAATTCAATCGACTATATATGGATAGAGCCGTCAAAGTGAGTCAAAATCCATATTAGGGCTTGCCCATTTCATCTCATTTCACGGTGGATAAGAGTTGTCATTCTTTAATCCGATGAACTCACCGGTTTCGTGGTGCAATTTGCACGGGTTGCGAGTTAAGTGAGTTGACCCATGCAAGTTGCGTGTAAACCAAAATATAAACATTTGACTTTCATTGTCTTCAATATTGATGATTTACCACTAAAATAATTTTCAAATATGCTTATTAGTTTACAACCCTTGTTGAACCATTGTTTCTATATATAATAATTATTCAAATAAATTACTCTAGCATTATTTCTATATATATGAACCGAAACGTTAGATTTGAAGATT